CTCTCGCTAGCATGAGCGAGTTTCTAAGATGGAATTGCTATGCCCTGACACGCGTTGCTGCGCTTGCTAGTCAGGACGGGGTGGTTCTTTCCCACGGGTGAGGGGCATGGGAGCTTCGCTGTTCAACATCCGTGATGCTGGCCCGTGATGATTTTTTTCGGGAACTGGCTTTGTAGTCTTCCCGATATGTCGTACATTGTGGGGCCTTTTTACTGTGTAGATTGCTGTACATGCTGAATAATATGTTTTATTTTCTGTGCTGAATGAATTAATAATATGCACCATATGCAGCAAGAATGGAACCATTCGTGGCCTTTCGACAGCATCTCAATTAGCCACAAAAAAAAAAGTAGGACGATATTCCGAAAAGCATATCGTTCCTGAATATACCGATCATTGTACAAATATCGCATTTCTCAAACCCCGCATTTCTGCTGGTGGCATTGGCACAATCGCGGCCCTCGATCTCTCTGACATCCTGTACCAGGTGTGAATCTCCGACACTGCCGCGATTCGTGAAACCTCTGTCTAGCAGGTTACCTAGTGCCCACTGTGTCAGTCAGACCAACGTAGTACGACCATCTCGATCGAGCGCTTTTCAACGCATCATCCTCAGCACCGAATGCGTCATCGTTCTACTCGCATGTTTCACACCAAAGCCTGGTTTCGCGAGCCGATACTATTTTATGCCGTTTGCATGCACGCTACATTCGAAATATTTCAATTTCGTTCGCCACATGGCGTTCGGCGTTGGAAGTTCCTCCATTTCGCGCAGAAAGGGGTTGCACTTTCGACGTCTTGAAACTCATTTCGTTCGATGTCTCTGAAACCGAACCTGGATCAATTGGCTCCTCTCGTATTAGTCGCGTTTATTTCAGGCATTTTTGAAACGTCCCAACAGTTGAGACGAGCCCGGATCCATGCGCGCCTCGCCAGCCGTGCTCCCTTACAACACATCTCAGAATTGAGGCGGATTTTCAACGTCGAAGTGAGTCCGCGATCCCGGTTCGTGCATATCAGCGCCCTGCGCCTGCCTGCACAGACTACCTTCTTCTCGGTGAGCACCCTGTGAGTCGACCGAAAGTCAATTCGTCCACATCAATGCCCTCCGCCTTCCTGTACCCGCTGCCCGCCGCCTTTGTTTGTACTTCTGCCCCCTGTCACCCCATTCTCTTTCAACCCCTTCTCTGTCGCCCTGTTCTCTTTCGCCCCCTTCTCTGTCGCCCCATTCTCTTTCGCCCCCTTCTCTGTCGCCCCATTCTCTTTCGCCCCCTTCTCTGTCGCCCTGTTCTCTGTCGCCCTGTTCTCTGTCGCCCTGTTCTATGCCGCCCCCTTCTCTGTCACCCCCTCTGTCACCCTCTTCTCAGTCACCCCCTTCTCTCTCACCCCCTTCCCTGTCACCCCCTTCTCTCTCACCCCCTTCTCTGTCAACACCTTCTTAGTCATCCCCCTCTCTTTCGTCCCAGTCTCTGTCGCCCCCCTCTCTGTCACCCCCTTCTCTGTCACCCCCTTCTCTACCAGCTCCTCCCTGCCAACTTCCTCCCTGCCTTTTTCCCTCCCCCTCACCAGTTGTCCTCTGGGAGGCGCTGACCGGCCCGAGGGTCGCCCGGAAAATATGCCCTCCATTCCTCTCTTGAGGCGCCTCAAACGCCCTCCACGTCCTCTCTTTCCCTGCTCCCTCCTTCCTTCCCCCTCCTCCCCTTCCCCCCACTCCCCTCCCCCCCTCCCCTTCCCCCCCTCCCCGCCCCCCAACAACAGGTCCTCTGGAAGGCACTAACGGGTCAGAGAGTCGCATGGAAGAAAGCTCTTCACTCGCTTCCCATCCCTCCCTCCCTCTGCTCCCACCGTTCCCCCTACTCCCCCCACCCTTCCCGAACAACAGGTCCTCTGGGAGGCACTAACGGTCCAGCGAGTCGCGTGGTAGAGAGCTCTTCACTCGCTCAATCTCAGATTCGCATCTCCGCGCTCCTCCTCTGCTCCTGGCGGGATTTCCAGAGGCAGAAAGAGGGGGAGAGGAGGAGGAAGTGGGAGGCGAGGAGGGCGGAAGGAGGAGGGGAATGGAAAATGATGAGGAGGAGGAGTGTGTGTGCTACCGGTGGATGAGATGGATTAGCTGATCAGCAAGGGGCCGAAGGTTTGGAGGGGTTGAGAAGGGTTCGACGGGAGGTGGAGGTGTTGAAAAGGATTGAAAAGGGTTGGGAAGGGTGAATCATGAGTGAGGCATCTCAGCTGTGCGTAGATGTGTGCGCTGCTGTTAGATGAGTTAGACCAGCTGATCAACAAGGACCAGAACTTGCGGAGGGGTTGGGAAGGGTTGGGACAGATTGCGGTAGGGTTGAAAAGAACCGGGGAAGGGTTAGTAGTAGTGATAGATTATGAGTGAGGCGTCCCCACAAGTCAGCTGTGTGTACATGTGTGGGTGAGATGGGTCAACTGATGATCAAGAACCGGAATGTGGGAAGGAAACTGATGATCAACCCGCGATGCCTTACAGGCAGCTTGGTGAGTTGACAGGAGGCACATGCAGGTGGCACGCTGATGTGGCACGCTGATGTGGAACGCTGATGATCCAAGTGACCTCGCCTCTCCCCCTCCCCTTCCCCCTCCTTCCCTCCCTCACTCTCTCCCTCCCTTCCCCAGTGAATACCTGGCGGAAATCTGCCTCCTTCTTCCCCAGTGAATACCTGGCGGAAATCTGCCTCCTTCTTCCCCAGTGAATACCTGGCGGAAATCTGCCTCCTTCTTCCCCAGTGAATACCTGGCGGAAATCTGCCTCCTTCTTCCCCAGTGAATACCTGGCGGAAATCTGCCTCCTTCTTCCCCAGTGCATACCTGGCGGAAATCTGCCTCCTTCTTCCCCAGTGAATACCTGGCGGAAATCTGCCTCCTTCTTCCCCAGTGAATACCTGGCGGAAATCTGCCTCCTTCTTCCCCAGTGCATACCTGGCGGAAATCTGCCTCCTTCTTCCCCAGTGAATACCTGGCGGAAATCTGCCTCCTTCTTCCCCAGTGCATACCTGGCCGAAATCTGCCTCCAACTTCCCCAAGCTGCAACACTGTAGTGCCGTCCCCTCTCAATCTCTGTTTCTCTGTTTCTTTCTTTCTTTCCCTCCCTGCAAATCTGGCGGACACCTGCCTCCTTCCTCCCCAAGCACTGCAGTGTTGTCATTCCTCACCGCAAACCCCTTCTCCCTTGCCTCCAACCCCCTCTCTCCCTCTCCCTCTCTCACCCTCTCCCTTCTTCCACTCCAATGCGCGCATGGCATATTCGCATGCTTTTTCCCCTTTTGTTTCCTTTTACCCAGTCGACCAGCAGGTCGCGCTGTTATCTACCCGTTCTTGACTTGACAGCATGGCTGAGTCTCGTCTTTTCCTCGCTGAGGGCACAGCATTGCGATGCGATTCCATCCATTTCTGCGGCGCCTCAAAAATCGTCTCAATCCCCTTTCTCTCTTATCTCGTCTCTCTCCTCTTTCTCACCTATCGCTCCCTCCTTTCGAGTGCACGCCTTGTGCTAGCAGACGGGCGCAGCGCTGCACTGCACTGCCTTTTGAGTCGACTCAAAATGCACGCCTTGTGCTAGCAGACGGGCGCAGCGCTGCACTGCACTGCCTTTTGAGTCGACTCAAAATGCACGCCTTGTGCTAGCAGATGGGCGCAGCGCAGCGCTGCACTGCCATCAGTGGATGCAGCTCAACTTGCCAGGTATGCCCCCCATTCTGCTCCACTTACGTCGGTTTTATCTTGATGTATGACCAAGATATGTCTTGCTACGTTTCTTTCCTTTGCTCACGCGTGCGTGTGCGGATTTAGTACGGTAAGTGTTCTTGGTTGTGTTATTTCCATATTTCTTTCTTTCCCTTTCTTTCGTGTAGGGATGAAGTAGTTCACGCACTGAGGACCGACCAGGATATGCCTTGGTTGTCAAAGCACCTTGATTGATATTGAAAATCAGGTGCACTCTAAGTATGTAGAGTACCTTATCATATACCGTACGACGATGTGGTTTTATACGAAGAGAGATTCCAATAGTGGCCCTGTAACCGTGGGCGGTTTGTGAGCGCAAAAATACATGGACACCTGCTTTCAACCAGCTCCTATTTCATGTGTTCTTATGGACTTTTATATAATGCACTCTTTAGCAAAAGCTGGTGCTGGAGGTACAGTGCGGGTGTCAGGGAAGGCAACTTATTGGAGCTAGAATTATTGGAGCTGGCTTATTGTGGGTGAATTCTTATTCGTTGAGAGCGCGATTCGACATTCGACACCCTCCGCGGAAACGGATTGGCGAGCGAAGCCAATGTACATTGGAAACGCGGTTCGGTAGCCTTGTTCCTCCTCGCCTCGGCGCATAAAACACATTCCCTTGCCCAAGCAAACAACCACAACTCACATTGCTTTGCACCTCGTTGCTTCCACCACAGTTTTTCCTCCACATTCGCGACAGTTGTTCGTTTCCTCCATCTGAAACTCTTCACGGCAGTGCCAGCTTCACTGCGGACGCTCGTCCAAGAAGCCTCAAGCTCCACCACCTCTTCTCCAATCATGGGGCGACGAGACAAAAGCGCCATCAGTGGAGCCTTGGCGATCATCCTTGTCGTAGTAACCTTTGTCAGGTGCGACTTCGAGCTGTTTTCGCAAAAGGCATTCGCGAAGTTTCTGACGAATCTGACAATCGTGCGGTTCGCACGCACAACAACCGTCTTGACTATCGTCTCTCTTGAGATTTCCCTAGCCAGTTCCCACATTTTTGCGCGAGTCGTGTGACAAGTATTCTCCTGGTTGATACGCACGATCCCCAGCGGAAAAAATATACCAACGTGCCTAATTTGCTCCAACTTTGAACCTTTTACCGAATTTCCCGTGCAGCGTCTTCCTGGCAGACCGTACGAGCGTTCGGCTACTATGACGGCACCCAACAGACCGAAGTCAACCAGCTGAATACCCGCCGTACCCTGCTGAATCCCGACGGCACCCAGCAGAGTACCGACGGCACCCAGCTGAATACCGACGGCATCCAGCTGAATACTGACGGCACCCAGCTGAATTCGGGCGGCGACCAGCTGAATTCCGGCGGCGACCAGCTGAATTCCGGCGGCGACCAGCTGAATTCCGGCGGCGACCAGGCCGACAACACGATTGCAAATGCCAACAACGACGGATACACCAGTACACCCAGCGCAGAAGTTGTCCCCGCCAAATCCAGCAAAACGAACTCCGGCGAAAATGCCGCGGAGATTGTCGTTCCCTTTGGCGCAAAAGTCGGCCCAGTAGCTGACGTCAACGCCGCTGGCGGCCTCAAAGTGTCGGCCGGCAATAACCAGGTGGAGATTAATCCAACCGGCAGTGCCGACGTCAGCTCTACTCTGCTTAAGACAGACGTTTCTGGGGATGCAACGGGCTCGGCGAAATTTAACCGTGAGGGAGTCACCGTGAACGTGGACGGAACCGCAAAAACGAACGTGTTTAACGGCGTCGGGACGGGCGAGGCAAAGGCGAAGGGCAGCGCCGGCGTGACGAAAACCGGGGTCAACGCGGACGCCGCGATTGGAGCGAACGCCGATGTGGCAGGCGTGGGAGCGAATGTGAATGTCGGCGCTGGCGGCGGGTTTAACAAGAAAGAAGTCAACGCGAATGCCGGGTTTGGAGTTTACGGGAACGTGGGAAATATCGCGGGTGCCGGAACTAATATCGGATCGACGGCGAAGGTTAGCCGTGACGAGATTGCCGCGAACGCCGGGTTTGGAATTGGCGCGAGTGTGAAAAGTATTGGGGCTGGAGGCACGGCCGCGTCGACGGCTGAGATTAGCCGCAAAGGCGTGAAAGCTGGGGCGAATGCGGGCGCTTCGGTGCAACTCGGCGACGTTTACGCGAGGAGCTTAGACGTTTCGGCTCAGGCGGAATTGCGTGGGTTGGGATTTACCCTAAATGTGAATCTTGTCGACCAGGCAAAAATCCTGGGAGTGAGCGGAAAAGACGAAGCTACGACGACGTTGGTTCTCGGCGATCCGAACACGAACGTGCCGCAGCTGGTGGTTCGGCTTAGCAAGGGGATGAGTTGCGTCAACATCCCGGACAGTTTCGCACGTTCGGCGAATTTCGTGCAGGTGTCGTGGCGCAGTACGGTAACGGCGGATGGGAAGACAGAAGAAGTTGCGAAGGGGTGCAAAAAAATAGTCGCGCAGCCGCAAAAGGGGTGCCAGGGTAACCCGCTGGATAAATTCGAGTTCAACCCTTCGTCTGCCCGCAAGGCCATGAACAAGTTTTTCGGGTCAGTTTCGTCGTATACCCGCTATGCTTCCCTCCCTCTCCCCTTTGCTTTCCCCCTCCCTCTCCCCCTCCCCATCCCCCTTCCCCTCCCCCCTCCCCCTTCCCTTCCCCGCCATTCCCCTCCCTCTCCTCCTTCCCTTCCGCCTCCCTCTCCCCCTTCCCTTCCCCCTCCCTCTCTCCCCCCCCTTCCCCCTTCCCTTCCCCCCCTTCCCTTCCCCCTTCCCCTCCCCCTCCTTCCCCTTCCCCTCCCCCTCCTTCTCCCTTACCCTCCTCCTCCTTCCCCTTCCCCTCCCCCTCCTTCCCCCTTACCCTCCCCCTCCTTCCCCCTCCCTCTCCCCCTTCCCTTTCCCCTATCACTCCCCTTTCCCTTACCCCCTCCCTCTCCCCCTTCTCTCCCCCCTCCCTCTCCCATTTCCCTTCCCCCTCCCTCTCCCCCTTCCCTTCCCCCTTCCTCTCCCCCTTCCCTTCCCCCTTCCCCTCCCCCTTCCTCTCCCCCTTCCCTTCCCCCTTCCCCCCCCCTACTTTCCCTTTTTACCGCACCCTTTGTCCACCACCAACAACACCACCTCCTCCTCCACCTCTTCCATTTCTCTCCCCCTCTTTTCACGTCTCCCACCCTCCCCCCGCCCCCCCTTATATCCCCAAGTCCCCCCCTTCCCCCTGCACCCTTCCCCAACTTTTTAAGTCTGTCCAAATCACGGAGGTTTTCTGAGACTAGACTATCACCCAGTAGCTTCAAGCTTCCTCACTTGAAGACTCCTCACTTTCAAGACTACGCAAATCAACAAAATCAGACTTCTGGGGCACCTAAAAAGTCCTTGCTTCCAATTTCCCCATCTCCCAAGTCCTCCCAACACGCCAAAATCTCCCAAACCCCTATCATCTTTTGCTTTTGAAAATACTAATACCAGAACCTCCCAAGCCCAAACTACTACCAGAACCTCCCAAGCTCAGTGCATCGTTCTCGCACAGTCACATCCTATCATCTTGTTGATTCCAATCCTCCCACCCCTTCTCACCCTTCCCCTTCTTCCCCAGTCCCTGCATTCCCCCCTCTCTTCCTTCCACCAACCCCCCTCTCCCCACTATTTTCCCCCAAACCATCGGTGTGTGTCCATAAAAGCTCTCCCCTTCTCATCCACCCCTCCCTGTCCCCCCTGTCCCCACTGTCCCCCCTGTTCCCCCTCTCCCCCCCCTCCTCTCTTCCACCCCCTTCTTTCCCCCTTCCTTCCCCTCTCCCCGCTCGCCTCTCTCAAACCAACAGCATGCTCCGCATCAAGAAAAAGGAGGTCGCTCAGACTTTTGAGTCGACTCAAAAGTCACCTCTGCTCCGCATCAAGAAAAAGGAGGTCGCTCGCTCCCTACCCGCACCCTCACCCCTTTTCAACCCTCCGTGCACTTCCTCCCCTCCCCTCCCCTACTTCTCCACCAAACCATCAGCAAGTTCCGCATCAAGAAGAAGGAGGTCGCTCGCTCCCTGCGCTGCGTCAACTGTAGTCCATCCCAACACATTCCAACCTCTCCCCACCCCCTGCACTTCCCCCTCTCCCCCCTCACCCTCCAAACCATCAGCAAGTTCCGCATCAAGAAGAAGGAGGTCGCCCACACCCTCCTCACAACACTCTTTCCTGGTACCCATCCTCTCACTCCTCTCTTCCCCCTCTCCCCCCTCACCCTCCAAAACATCAGCAAGTTCCGCATCAAGAAGAAGGAGGTCGCCCGCACCCTGCGCTGCGTCAACTGTAGTCCATCCCAACACATTCCAACCCCTCCCCACCCCCTGCACTCCCCCCTCTCCCCTCCCTTCCACCAAACCATCAGCAAGTTCCGCATCAAGAAGAAGGAGGTCGCCCGCACCCTGCGCTGCGTCAACTGTAGTCCATCCCAACACATTCCAACCTCTCCCCACCCCCTGCACTTCCCCCTCTCCCCCCTCACCCTCCAAACCATCAGCAAGTTCCGCATCAAGAAGAAGGAGGTCGCCCACACCCTCCTCACAACACTCTTTCCTGGTACCCATCCTCTCACTCCTCTCTTCCCCCTCTCCCCCCTCACCCTCCAAACCATCAGCAAGTTCCGCATTAAGAAGAAGGAGGTCGCCCGCACCCTGCGCTGCGTCAACTGTAGTCCATCCCAACACATTCCAACCTCTCCCCACCCCCTGCACTTCCCCCTCTCCCCCCTCACCCTCCAAACCATCAGCAAGTTCCGCATCAAGAAGAAGGAGGTCGCCCACACCCTCCTCACAACACTCTTTCCTGGTACCCATCCTCTCACTCCTCTCTTCCCCCTCTCCCCCCTCACCCTCCAAACCATCAGCAAGTTCCGCATCAAGAAGAAGGAGGTCGCCCGCACCCTGCGCTGCGTCAACTGTAGTCCATCCCAACACATTCCAACCCCTCCCCATCCCCTGCACTCCCCACTCTCCCCTCCCTTCCACCAAACCATCAGCAAGTTCCGCATCAAGAAGAAGGAGGTCGCTCGCTCCCTGCGCTGCGTCAACTGTGAGTCCATCCCCCCAAGTTCCCCCAAGTCAGTTTTTGAGTCGACTCGAAAACAGAGTCAACTGTGAGTCCCCGGCCCCCAAGTCTCGTGATAAAGGGGTGATTTTGCGACGTGAAGTACCCTTTTTGAGACGACTCAAAAACACCCTTTTATCACGTGCGTTGCGTTAACTGTGAGTCCCCGCCCCCCAAGTCCCCCCAAGTCATAGCATCCTAGCTGCACTGTAGCATCCTAGCTGCACTCTAGCATCCTAGCTGCACTGTAGCGGGGTGACCTTAAATCCACACTGCTACCTGCGTTGTGTCGACTGTAGAATCCACCCTTCCCCCCTTCCCCACAACCCCACCCTCCCCCCAAAAGAAAGTCCCAGCTGCATCCTAGAATTCTAGCTGCCCAGCCCAAGCACCCTACCATTCAAGCATTCCAGCATTATAGTACGGTATCCTAACTATGGTAACTGCATTGCGGCACTCCCTGCACTTTCTTTAGAATCCAAGCAAAAGTCACCTCACCCATTGTCACGTCACCCATTGTCACCTCACCCGTTCTCACCTCACCCGTTCTTGCCTCACCCACTGTAGGAGGAGATTCAGGAGGACAACAGGCAGCAGCACTGGTGCCTCTAGAAGGAAATTCAGGAGAACAACAGGCAGCAGCCATTTCCAAGCTAAAAAGCTCAAATAAGGCCCATTTCTCAAATAAGCTTCATCTGTTGCTTCTCTCACACAAGTCACATTTCTTGTACGGTACCGTACCTTCTACGGTGTAGGTATCAACTACCGTATCTGCATGTCCCTCTCTTATATAATCTTTGTAAAATGGCCATAAAGCCTTTTCAGCAGCAGTCTATCAACCTTGTAATATGTCGTACAGTACCATGTGTAATATGTAATAAACCACATGCCCTACAGCAAAGATCCTACACCCAGCAATGCCTCGCTACCTATCTCTGGCTCACCTTCACATTCCCCTCTTTCCCTCCCCTCGATGAGGCTCCTCCCCTCCCACCCCCTCCTCTCCCTCTCCCTCCCCTCCCTCCTCTCCCTCCCCTCCCTCCTCTTCCCCCTCCCCTCCCTCCACCTTTCCCTTGTTCTCCTGATGCCCCTCCTGCCGCTCCCCCTCCGGCCCCTCCTGTCGCTTCCCCTTCCGAACCTACTGGTTTGGTTCGGCGCTTGCTTCGCCAGAGCAGCCGGATCGGTGTGCCTTCAGACATTGACACTAGCAAGGAGGCAATGCAGGGGAAGTGCCATACAATGGAGATGGTGCTGGCGCTGGTGAAGGTGAAACTGCCGGGGATGGAGCAGGAGCCGGGCTTGGTGCAGAAACTGGGCTAGGAGCAGGAGCAGGTGCGGGACTAGGAACTGGGACAGTCAATAGCCCCGTTGCATTGACATGCAGCCTGAACTGCAAATATGAGTTACCAGCTAAGCCTAGAAGGCCTGAACCAGCCTGAACAGCTTGAAGCACATCCCTGCACACAAATAGTAATGGCAAATAAAAATTACACAGATTCGTACAAACGTACAGTGCATCCAAGCATTTGATAACACACCTAACCCGGACAATAGGGTTTGAGTCAGCCATCAGCAGAAGAGAATCATTCTGCATAACAATCATGGAGACAAGGGTGAGCATAGATCAGAGTCTAGCAAACAAAAAAGATGTTGAGATGAGAATGAAATCCACTCGCACGTACAGTTCCAGATATCTGACCAGCGACATTTGTGATTTGATTGCTGGGGATGTCCACGTTGACGTTCTTCAGATCCACATCTTCACCGAAATACTTTCCAGTAACCCGTCCAAACAGAACTGAGGCGTTTTTAGGGGTGAAGGTAAAGTTCCCTTCCGGGCTGGTTGTGAAATTCCCACCTGCTCAAAGCATTCTCCATGTTACGTCACTTGAAGGAGCTACGCGCTGGAAATCGAAGGGATTTACCACCTACCAGATACGGTGAGGTTGACATCTGTTGCAGTGAAGTTTGCAAGAGGAATAGCGGCGCCAGGCCCTATGAGTGCGACTTGGAGCTGAGGGGGTATGGTTGTAAAGCTACTGCGAACCCATGTCCACTCGACCTGCATGCATCCCACGCGGAACCATAACACGTTGTATCAACAATCTCAGCCTGTTGCAACGAACGAATCTCAAGGAGAAAGACGTACCGTGGAAATGTAAGCACGACCCTACCTGCTGGGTCGATGGGGAGAGGGCGAGTTTGAGCGCGACAGGTCCTTTGAGCAGAAACGACGGAGGGCCCACAACCAGTCGCAGGCCGGATGCGCCTCCAGCTTCCCAAGACGAATTCGAGGCTTCAGGAACCGCCTGGCCTCCGTGAGAAACAGAAATGGCATGAAGTTTTCTAATTCGAACGTTTCGACGACTGGAAGACGACTCGTTTAGCGATAAAATAACTTACCTGCAGCACGGTGCCCTGAGCCCCTTGCCCATTTGCTGAGTCAACAAGTAGCGTGAAAACGAGACCAACAAGGCAGAGACAAGCAAGCAGTTTTCCCAACAAGCTTTTCGTTCCAAGGGAGATTGGTGACGCAGAGCAGAAACACGAAACGGGGGGAGCCATTTTGGGATTCTGAGTGGTGCGGCAAAGATGACGGCGAGCGAGGAAATAAACGCGCAACGCACATCAGCGGCTATATGGCTGTGTTAGTGTTGAATCGGACCAATCTCAGGAATTCGTTTCCGAGTGCCGTGACGGCCAGCCGTCAACAACTGGTTATAACATAACCAGGCGATTTGGCTTTCACCTCGTTGGGTCGCATGACGTTTCGCACAGCGGGGGAGTGACACGTAGGGAATGGAACGGCTGGAAGCAAACTGAAATTAATTATATTTTTTTGCCGAGGAAAATGAGATGACGCACCTAATACAAGTGATGAGATTCACTATATTAGAAACACAGTACCGGTACAACAAACTCTAAAAACAATTACCCAAGCAAAATTATTCTCTCTTTCTACGCGGCAGGTTGCTGATTATCTCTTGCACCATGGGTATGATTATGCTGGCCTGGAATTCGTCCGTAGGGTTGGTGCTGGTCATTCAGCTGTTGATTGTGATGCGCGAGGAAATGTTGCTGCATCTGCCGCTGTTGCCTCTGCTGCTGCTGCTGCCGTTGAGCAGTCGCAAGCAACATGGCACAAACCAACTTATGCCCAGCCTTCCAATCCAGTGCCTGACACGCTCTGCTGCAATACTTAGCCTCTCCGCACGCAGAGCAGCACCTAAACTCCTGCCGCCGTGTCTCCGACCGGCCGCAGCGGGAATTAGAGCACAGGCGAAGGCCTTCAGGGAGGCCATAGATCCCACGCCAGTCGACAAGGAATTTATGCACAGCAGCGTGCCAGGAGAACGGGGGGAGGGTCACTGTGGGGAGGCAGCAGCAGCGGTAACCAACACCGTACACTGCACAGGAGGGCAGGACGACCGTATGATTCATTGCATCTGGACCGCCTGCAGGGTGTGCAAGGCCTGCAGGACCTGTAGCTGCTGGGGGTTGCACTGGTGTTGTGCTGTTTGCGATCCCATGGATAGCTGCTGCCTCTGCAGATGTCCATGGGTTGGCTCTCCGTGGCATGGTCCGCTGCTGCTGCTGCTGCTGCTGCTGCTGCTGCTGTTGCTGCTCCTGCTGCTGTTGAAGAGCCTCTAAACGATTTGGCTGGGTGTCTAAATTCTGCTGCTGCTGTTGCTGTACCTGTTGGTGTTGTAACTGTTGTTGCTGTAACTGTTGGTGCTGTAACTGTTGTTGCTGTAACTGTTGTTGCTGCAACTGTTGTTGCTGTAACTGTTGTCGCTGTAACTGTTGTTGCTGTACCTGCTCCTGGTAATCCAGTACGGTTTGGCTATGTTGCAGCAGGTGCTGTGCGTTCTGGCCTTGAGCCTGCCATGAAGCCATGGCATGCTGCATCCCAAGCGCATGGGCAGAGCGGGCCTCGTCAGGTTCTGTTGATGCAGGCGTAGCAATAGGCACGGCAGTGACTGCTGATGCTGGTGCTGGTGCTGCTGGTTCTGCTACTACTGCTGATGATGCTGATGGTGCTGCAGGTTCTGCTGCCGCTGCGGCTGATGGTGCTGCTGCTACTGCCATGGCAGCCCTTGGTTCTCTCGTCAGAACTGTAGCAATGGGCACGGCAGTGACTGCTGAGGCCCGGAGCATTTCAGCAGCCTCGGCAGGGGACACGAGAGTGCCATAGGCTCGGCGAGCCCGAGCCAAGCCTTGCAGGGCTTGGAGATCCAAACGAGGCCGGGAGGTTCGGCGGGGAATCATGGGAGCTACGGACGAGAAGTCATATTGTTGGGTGGGTTGAGTTTGAGGGGGAGAAGCTGGGAAGGGTTGAAGTTCGGAAGGCTGAACTTGAGTGGGTTGAATTGGGAAGGATTGAAATGGAAAGGGTTGAACTAAGGAGGCTTGAACTGGAGAGGGTTGAACTGGGGAGGGTTGAACTTGGGGAGATGCAATGCCCTGTTGATGCCGGGGTTGGTAGTGATACTGCTGTATCTGACCCCCGTACTGTTCTACAGGATGTTGCTGCACAGAACTGGGGCCATTTATAACACGGATTGTTTCAGAGCCAGCTGCTGCTTCCACTCGCCTCCGACCCTCGTTTTCTGCTTCGGACCGAACCTGCATTGTAAACTGGCTCTGCGGAGAAACCACTACCGCTGCTGCTTCGGTATTCTCTGTTCCCCATGATATTCTCACAATACCCGTGGCTTCGGCAATTCCAAAGTCTACTCTTGTGACTGCCCCTCTTGCGACTGCTCCCGCTGAGACTGCTCCCGCGGAGACTTCTTCTGTTGTCTCTGGAAGCCAAGGCGCGGGTGCAGCAACTGCTTCAAAAGGCGGAGAGATCGCAGCTGCTGTAAGAACTGTAGCCGCACTCCCCGCTGTAGCAGCTGTAGCAGCTGCTGGTGCAGCAACGGATGTAGCGGTTGATACACCTGCAGCCGCTGTAACAGCTGTAGCAGCTGTAGCGGCTGTAGCGGCTGTAGCGGCAGCAACTGTAGCGGCCTCTCTCGTGTTCGCCTCGAGCAGCAGGCGCCTCCCCTCCGCCACGTTCCGCGGAACCCCATACCCGTCCTGCAGGCAATGCCCCAGCTCCCGAAGCGCCTCCACGTGGCCTTGCGCGGCGGCCTTCGCGCACAGCAGCACGCCCGCGAGCAGGTCGCGATCGAGGCGCGTGCCGCTGCTGCCGTTGAAGTGGATCACGGAGAGCGAGTGCAGCGCGTGCGCGTGCCCGCCGAGCGCGGCGCGCGCGAGCAGCGTCGCGCCGCGGCGACGGTCCTCGAGGCAGTAGAATTGAATCTGTGAACGAAAACGATGGTGTCAATTAAGAATTTTCCTCAAAATGGTGAACGAAACGTTACAACGTCACAACATTAGCGAACGAAAACGACGACGACGGACTGAGAGGCGAGCGCGCGACGATGGGGAGGGGACTGACCATGCCGAGCGAGTAGCACGCGTCGAGGTTACCCGCCGCGGCGCACCGTTTGAGGAACCGATGCGCGCCGTCCGACCAGGACGGCGCCGCCACCGAAATGGCCGCGGGCGACGCGCGACTCAGCACGTGCGGCTCGACGCCCAGCGCGCACACGCGGCGGCACGTCAGCCACGCGTTGATCAGGTCGGCGGGGGAGCGCGCTCGCGCCGCGAGATGCTGGAGAACGCACGTGACGAGGTCGTCCTGGGGGAACGGACACGCCGGGGGGGGGAAGGTGGGGAAGTGGGGGGAGTGGGGGAAGGACGGGAGGTGGGGAGGGCTCTTGAGTCGACTCAATCATCGCGAGTTGCTGGAGAACGGACGCGACGAGCTCGTCCTGCGGGAACGGACAAACGAGGAAAAGGAAGGAAATGAGAGGGAAGCGAGAGGGGAAATCACTTGACGCTTGCGCGTGAGGTGTGGCGCTCGACACGCGCACGCGGAGGCGCCGCATGGGATTGCCGCGAGGAGACGAGCACGGGGTAGGGGAGGGGAGGAGCGTGATTCTTCTTCCACTCGCGCGGCTCCGGCGCAGCTCCGGCGGAGTTCCGGCGATCCATGGCTTTTTCGCCGATGGGATGAGACTATTTGAGTCGACGATGGGCCTTTGTGCCAGGACACCAAGTGCGGCGGCGGGGAGAGGGGACAGGTGTGAAATGCGGAACTCACGCTTTTGAAGCCACGATGCGACGGAGGGAACTCCCCGCGTTGACGGGGAGTGGTAATCCCCGTGGAAGGGGGGGAACAAGACGGAAGAAGGGGGGAGCAGCGCGATGCGTGTTGGGGACCGATACGGTTGCGCAAAGCGGTGGGTGGGTTGTGATGCGGCAGCGCA